ATCATGAAAGACCGGGAAGCACTGGACGGCCGTTTCGTCCTACCACGGGATTCCTCAGCGGTGCGCATCCACGATCCCACCTCTCGAAATTCGAACCTAGGTCCTACCAGTCTCGCGTGCGAGCGCATAACCACTAGGTCACTGAGTCGGCTGTCATCCAACAGTGTTAGTGTCTAACTTCAACTAATCCAGGAAATTGAGTCATACGTCCACCATTGCCTTCTGTGAGTTACTATCTCACAACTGAACCGGATGAACTGCACTGGTCATGGCTTCTCACTAGAACTCCAGGAAATACCTCTTGAAGCCAGTCACCAATGAGCATATGTTGATTCATATCAAGTATTTTAAAGGATATTAAGTTACACATTCATGTAAAACTTAATACTTTTTGGCTTCTGTACTCTATACTACATTTAATTTTAAAGATCATATTAACTCAATTAAAATTCCTATGATTCTCTTATATATTCATCAGTTGAAGACAAAGTTATTCAGTGAGTTAACAATTGATCTATACTATGAAAATATACAATAACATAATGTATGATTGCAATTTATAATATTAACATAGTGTAGAACTATGAAAAGTAAATGATATTCTACCGATTTCTCATTTCCTGTACAACTGTGAAGAAAAAATTATAAATGATTCTATTTTAAGCTCAAAAAAATACCCAGATATTAATGATAGAAATTGTACATCATCTCGTATAACATTTAATATTGAGTATTATTGATCAAGATTTGAGGGGTTTAACCCAAAATGAATTAGTAGTATTTTCAGTATTCTTTAGTAAATTCACAGATTGAAATAAAAACTGTAAATAAACATACACATAAATTGAACCGGTCACTTTATGACTGTACATAATGAACTGGACATTATCGAATATGAAGATAGGTAATATAAGGTGTAAACTTCTACCAAGCAAATCCATACTAGTGATGTCACACCATCTGGGATAGATTACTTATATAATAATTATCGTAACTGATTGCATCTGATAATCAACAACATAATTTCACACAATTAGGTCACTTGATGAATTTAAATAAAGCCAAAACACTAGGTAGAATAGTGTTAATTTGTTTTGCTTTAAGGATTCTCGTCTGCTGTTTATAATCAAGTATATTGAAATAGTGGATATTGATGAATGAAAAAACTGGAATGAAGACAATTAACTGAATTATGAGTAAGTACGAGTAAATTCATTAAAGAATGGATGTCCGAAACATATGAGCCTGAAGAATTAATGGTTTAAAATTAGAAAATTTATAAGATGGATTATTTAACAATTATCGACAATATAATGAATTCACATAAATTTTGAGTAACTAAGGGAAAATCATAGAATAAACATAATGTAGTTATTCTTTAAACACTTTAATTGAATGAAATTAATAATTGATTTTTTTAACTAAAAGGGAATAATGATTATATTTTACTATTTAGTTTCTATCGACAGAACACTACTATCGAACTTGTATTCCCATACGTAACTATTTGACATCTGTAAATGGTTTTTTTGTACATATATTGAACATTCAATTTTCCACACATGTGACAATAAATATTCATGGGTTGGAGATTAAAACAAAATAATTTTGATATATATAGTATCAAATAACTTAGTTGATAGATTAACTATACTTTAACCATAAGTATAAACGTGAAGTAAATTAAATATTTACTGAATAAAAAGCTGTTCATTTTTTAGTTGCCAACATTTTTTTCCTATTTCCAATCCAATACTCGGATTAGAATGAAATTATTAAAATACTTAAATAGAGGTTGAAGAATAAAAGGAGGATAGAAAGTGAATAATTGAAACATTCACTGATAAAAAGACAATATAACAAATATATTGTAGTGTTTTAGATGAGCTGATAAGTAAACAGTAACAATTTAATTATAAAAATAACTTCAGTTGACTTGCTCAATTGAAATATAGCTTGTTCTGTATTGTTTGATACTTAATGACTGGAAAGAAAAATCTAAACTTTGTGATATGATGAGATTAAAAAGTAAAATTACATTCTTTTACTCATTATGATTTCTGTCCGACATTACTTTCGTTTTCATTCATTACAATAATTACTCAGTGTAGCATTTGTTTTGTTTCCCATTGTGGTGTTTTATTTGGTATACCATTAGTTTATTTGAGTGTGGTGTTTGTTAAAGGCACGATATTTCGTGTCAACTTAACATAAACCATGCTCAGCATGACACGTAGCGTGTGTTTTGCTATAACTCTGGGTATTTTTCATACATGCGATTTCATCCTACTTAATAATCGAAATGGGTGTACTAATCAATATATATGTTGTGAGTGCATTTTTCAATAGGGTCTTCGTCGTGTTTTTGAGATTAATAAACTCTCAATTGTAACAGTCTTTGTGTTATTACTTTTACGTCGTAGGAATTGCAGTGGTTTCTCGTCTTACAAGTATAAGTAATAAGCGATTCCGACATAACAAGTAGTGACGACCAGACGTAACAATTGGCGACGCATTTATAACAAATGACGACCAGTCATAATACTTTGTAAAGTTTTATTGATATTCACTGAGCATAAAGGAATCTCAGGAAACACCTGTTGATATGCATATTATCAACTGGTTTAGAGAAACGAATGTGTGCAAATTATATTTTAGGTGGAAGAATTTCTTGCACATAATTCATTTATTTATGCTTTATTTTATGATGCAGAGGATCGTTCTTATGTTTGTTAATTTATCTTTTTAAGGATGTTGTATGATGACTGGACAAAAATGATTAGAAATACAACAGATAACAGCGTTTCTTTTTTATCCTACATAATAAATATGAAACTAAAATTATTATCGTTTGCTTTAAAAACAGAAGGACTAAGTTATCCACATACCGAAGAACTCTAAGTAGGATGCACAAATACAATCTACAATCAGTGTCATTTACTAATAATGAGATAACACTATAAACAACATACCCATTGAAAAGTCTAGAGAATGTCTGAACTCAATAGTCTAGATGATGTTTAATTTTAAGCAAGAAGTTCTGTGTTCACATTTCAATGTGAACAACTTCATTCGGATACAAGTAAGTTATGTTAATGACTTCCAAAGTGAACGAAACGCTAGTTCTAGATTTCATGACTTACTACAATCAACCTGTTTTATAAAAGATCAAACAGAATTTATGATATAGAATGACCCCGCCACAGGAACTGAAATCAGGACATCCGGGGTCGACTGCGAACCCTTAACCTTCAGAAAACTGGAAAGACATCCAGTGGCGCGGTAATGTGCAACCCTCACTCATTGCCTCAGGTGGATAACTGTCTCACATCCAACACTGATTAAACTTCGATGGTCATGGCTTTTCATTAGAATTTAGGGTGTTCAAAGTCAGCCTGTGGCGTCGCAAACACGCACTCTTGAGGAGTCTCATATAAAAACGAAACGGCCGTCCAGTGCTCCCAGGTTTTGAAAGGTGGTTTAGCTACGATTAGTTCGTGATTCAAACTATAGAAATTATTTAGTCTGCACCAATCCCTCGTATTTATTTATTTTGCTAAATTGCGGCATTAGGAGATTGACGAACATGGAGGGGTATTGAATCAGTGATGTAGTACGAATGTCTCAAAGTAAAAATGAACAAGAATTACCTAAATTTTTATTAGTTAAAAGATAACAAATAAAGTTATTTACACTTTTATAATTAATCATTTAGTATATAGTTTCTAACTATTAATACCTATTACACTGAGAGCCACAGAAAAATGATTAACACCTTGTTACTCACTTTTACAATCAACTAATTTCTGTATACAGTGATGTTATGCTCTCATGTGTTCATCATTAACTTCGATTGAGCTCTTATTCTTTAGACATATTATTTAGTAATTCACTGAACTGAGGGTTCTGTTTATTTTGGTTTATATTTTTGATTAGTTCAGACAAGTAGGAATGAATAGTTAGACTTAGTGTTTTGGGAAACCGGTCTACTTGTTAAAAATTTAAATGTTTTCCCGCCAAATATTTCGTTAGCACGCTCAGATTACATATTCAAAGAAACTATACATTGATTGATGTTGAGGATATTTTTTTTGATTAATCAGTTCTATAAGCATGAATATCAGCTATAAACCTGTTCAATGATCCTCTTACAACAAGATCAAGGTGAATATTGTGTTTTTCAAGACTATAGAAAATTTGGAGGTTTTAACTTATAATGTTGACTAATGGAAAATTAAAATTATCGGTTCACTTTCTTCCCTACAGTATATACCATAGAGTAATTAGCTAAAAGTATACAAAATATCAATACATATTTGTTAAACAGTATGAAACAATTCCATGAAACCAATTCTTATGGAATCAAATAAGAAACATTTTCGATTTGTTTTATACTTTTTGAGTCAAATAATAATTCAAATAGTTTCATTTCTTTTAAGCATAACATAACTACTCATTACGGTTACATGGTCATCATTGGTTTGGAAGCATAGTACAGCTTTACCAATAATAACATGGTAACTAGTTGATATAATTAAACTGTTACAAAATAATTTCAGCACACAATTTCTATAGAATAAACTTCTTGAATATGAAACAATAGATTACCTAAGTAAAGTAATTCCCAACTTATCAATATTATAATGGAGTAATGCATCATTCAATAGTTAGAATACTAAAATTTTCTTAGTAAAACATCCTTACAGTATACTATCCTAGTCACAAAGGATATTCAACATTTTATATTATCAACTGATGTCATAACTTCTCTTCTCTTATTGGTCACATGCAGTTTTAAATTACTAGTTGGTATGTTTTATGTGAGTGAATGAATAAAACAAATACATGACATTTTGCTGTTGTAAATAATAGCATTACGTAATCTTCTCTAGATATTAATAAACTACTTTACCCTGAAATGATATTTGACTTTGTCTTGACAAGAACTTAAGTAGGCGCTTATTATTATTATCATTATTATGAAAGATTAAACTACTTACTTGACTATTAATTTCGGTTGCATCACTGTCATTTGCTTCAATTTGTCCAATTAAATGATTAATTTTAGCATCTTCGGATACAGTTAATTGATATAATGAATTATCAAATGTTGGTACACAGTCATTTACATCGTCAATGAAAACATGAAGAGTTCCATGTACAATATGCTGTTTTGGTGCTTTACGATTAAACAGTTCGATTGTATTTGTTTTTATAGTTATGTCTGTTATAGATGTAATATTATCATTATTATAATTATTTAGTGTAACCCATTCAGACTGATCATAAACAATTACAGAGAGATTAAAATGATCTATCTGTTCTCTGTCAAATGGTCGTAAACTAGTTACTGTACCCGTTTTTTCATCAATCATAAAATTATCCATGTGTTGTCCATCTAAACGATAACCTAATAAAGCATTTGGACCGATATCTGGATCATGTGCATCAATTTTGTAAATTTTTGTTCCAGATGGACTATTTTCTTTTATATGAGCAATCATTTTACTTTGTTTAAACTGAGGACCATGATCATTGATATCTTCAATAATAAGATGTAAACCAACTTGTGAAGATAATGGTGGTTGGCCATAATCATAGCATGTTAGTGTAGCAAACTGATCTGTTTGTTGTTCTCTGTCGAAACTAGCATAGGTAAGAAGTTTAAATTGATTTTTAGCACCTTTGAATAAAGGTTCCAACACTAACCCATTATGATTTAACTGACAATTAATGCTTAGATGTGTATCTGAATCAATTGTTTGATATTGATAATTCATAGTCGGGGCATTATTCTCAATCAAATTGTCTGATTTAGCAAGAATCGGTCAGAAATTTCATCAGAATCAGTTACTGTTACAGTTCCTATTAACTGGCCTGGTGGTTCATGTTCAGTTACATATAGTAGAATCGTTCGACCATTAATAAAGTTTCGAACTCCGGGACGTATCGATGAACTTGAAGAAAAATTACTCGATTTCTGTTTAATGACTGGACGAACTGAAATCATAGGAGGGTGATCATTTATGTTTTGAATTCGTACAGTCAACTTTTGCGTTATCAAGTGTTTACCATCCGTTACTGTGATTGGTAAAATGTGTATTCTGTGTTGCTCATAATCCGGTGAACGTAAAAGAATTACTTCACCTGATTTCGGGTCTATTCTAAATGTATCCCTAACATCTAGACCGGCTGATGTTCCTAGTGTGTATTTAAGCTTTTTCTTATCTGATTCATCACGATCAACCGCTTGTGCTTTATATATAACTCGTCCAGCTGGAGTATTTTCAGGAAGCTGTATATATAATTCTCCATTTTCTGAGTAGACAGGTGATAAGTGAACTAAAGATGATTCGCTTGTAGTTTTAGAGTGATATCGATCAGAGTCGATAAACTCGGGAGCATGATCATTAATATCTGTAACTGTTATATTTATTGTTACAGTGCCTGTCAAACTAACCGGTTGACCACCATCCACTGCAATTAAAGTCAACTTTGCATGTTTTACTTTCACACTTTCAGGGTGATACAGTTTCGATGAAGTCAAAGTATCAGTTTCATCGGTATTATCATCATCATCACAATCTAAATCTTGTGTAATACGAAGCCATAAACGAAAAATCCGTGGTTTACAAGTAATTGCTTGATAATTCCACACAGTGTTTAAATTCATATCTGGATTTGATATAAGCTCTGCATCTAAATGGAAAACATTTTGCATTGAAGATGTTTTTTCTGAATTTATGACGGAAGACTGAAATTTTACATTTTCATCAAGTAGTGAATAATTTACAGTTGTATTAATAGGTCCACAATCTGGATCATTAGCTGTTGGTAAGGGTATTCTAGTACCGACTGAAGTATGTTCTGGTACACTGATTTGTATAATATTCTCTTGCCATGATGGTGTATTATCGTTTATATCAAATATATATATTTTTATTAATATCACTCTATGCTGTTGTTCATTATTTTCACGTGAATGAGAATCATGTATAAATTGTAAGGCTTGTAGTAATATTTCACAACTTGATTTAGTAATATATCCTGTATTTAGAGAATTCGGTTCGTTTATTACAAGTTGATCAACTTCTTTAATTCTAAAGTCATTTGATGAATGTGGAAGAAGATTATTCATTGTATTACTACTGTGTATATTATTATCAGAACAAATAGTTTCACGATCGATTCGACCACGTGTATACAATAATCCAGTAGATTCATTCAAATAAAAATTTACATTATTTGATAAAAGTTGAAAAGTACTAAATGAATATGATTGACTCATTGAATTATATGGTATATTATTTAAATTTCCAACTAATGTATTTGGTGGACATTCTTCAGTAATAAAATATTCCATAGTATATTGTCCATTCACATAGTTAAAATGATTTAATGTAAGAAATTGAAAGACAATGGTAGTATATAACATATAACAATAAAAATCCATTTTTTTTCTTATGATCTTTTTGTTTAACTGATATCAATAATGATCATACAAAGAAAAAATAAAGCCAAATAGAAGAATAATATTTACAGTAATGGTTATAGTAGTTGATATATTACTTTCACTGTTAATTCATAATTATTCTTAATTTGAAATAATCCATATTTCATTATGAATACTCTACGTGTCTATGGGTAAGTGAACTATTCAAACTATATTAATCCACATATATTTCTCAATACACTATTTGAGATAAGTGTATATTATTACTATTTTTATTACGTTTGTAAATTTAAACAAAAAATACTTATCAATTCAATATATGTAATATGATGATTTTGACAATAGACAATCATTATTATTGTGTTGACAAGTTTATGTCCATAACACAATATTCATTTTTCTTTCATAGTTATCATTAATTTACTACATCAGGATAAAATGAAGCAATATATGTATATATGTATACTAGCCCAAATATGAGATACGTCAATTAACCATCGGTTATTCATTCATTCAATAAGTTTAGAAATAGTGATTAGTTTCAATGAGTTTAATTTTGTATTTCTGTTATTTAATCCGATTGATGAATAAAATGTGTTCTACACAGTGAATAGATTATATTAATGTACACTTTAATTATCCTATGGATTATCCAATCATATTTCAACTGTTTGTCTGTCACACACTCAACGAATTTGTAGCGTAGGACATAAATAAATAAGGAATTAAGAAAGAAATTTTATTTGTAGTTGAGAGAAAAATTATCCTAAATATCACTGAGTAATAAACTTAATTATTATAACCATATAATTTGTATAGATAGATTCATTCAATATGATAATTAAAGAAGATTTGATGATGTCGGTATTTAGAATATTTTTATATCAAGTTGAATGGATCACTAAAGACAATTGATTTATGATATAGTGTCAAGTTCATAAAATTTATTGAAATGTAATAGACTCTCCTATCTTCTTACCTTTTTGGTATGAATTTCTAAAAAGATATACAATAAAAGTGAATGAAAATATTAAGTAGAAATGAAAAACGAAAAACTATTGGGACACTGAAGTTTTTAGTAATATAAGAATAATCGAAATTCTGGATATAGTTTGATTGTCAGCTAGAGCTTGGTTGAAAATGTTAAGCTAAATAGCTATCAATATTTGGGAGCATGAACAGTAAATGAGATAAGACCTACATAAAAAAATAGTATCATTAGAGAACGGTCAGTGGATTAAAATATTTGATCCATGATCACATCATGAATGTTATCTACAAAGCTATTGTAGTGAACAGAACACGAGTGAGACAATCGAATGTGTTTAACACAAAATTACAGGACTTGTTAATAAAATATACCAATCATAAAGTAAATGCTTAATTTGCAAAACGTCCACCAATTGTATCAAAATGACTCAGACTTCATTGTTCTTGCATTTTCATACAAATTGCATCCTGTTTCCATTCTTTACTGTTCAATCCTCTTGTCTCTCTGCTGCCAGACCTTCTGTTTACGACTAACATCATCTAGTACTTATGTCAATATAAGTAGCACACACCACACTTGTATTCAATTAAAGGTCTCTAGCAGAAAACCTGTTGTCATTATTGTATGTCGTTCTTTCAATTCACGATTGATTTTGAATCCACTTATAAGTGAATAAATTTAAAATTTTGATTTTGTATCATGTATAGTTACAGTAATAGCTACATATCTCTTAAAGTATAAATTATCCAAGTAAATAGAATAACTGAAGCGTAGTTAGTAGCTCTTGGTATTATCACTAATACATCGATCACTGATATCTTAAAAGAAAAAAACTAATTCTGATAGGACAGAGCTAACAGTAAATTTGATATACAAAATCAACAAATCCTACCATAACAAAACATAAACTTTGGTAAATATCGATACAGACAAGATATATGTAGCAAACTTCATAAAATGTCAGATGTTTGCAAACTCTCTTTCAAGTAAATTAAAAATAAGAAAATAAAAAGGGGAGTACAATTGAATTGATAGTGTTCATGTCAGTAAGATATTGTGATAAATGTCAACATGAAAACCACAATTTAGATTAAGGGGTCATCACCACTTCATTTTTACATCAGTGTGATACATTCGCATTCAACATTACATTTACAGTTTTAATGTATTCTGTAGATTCACACTCAGTATTACAAACAATGTAGCGGCATTTTCAAACAAATTTAATCTCTCCCCTTTAATCATAATATCTCTTAAGATTATTCGGTTGTTTTGTCACATACACACATCCAGATTGTTGACCAATTATGAGACAAAAGAACAAAAGGAGAACAGATTATTAACTGTAAAGAATGCGATGTGATGTGGAGAATCTTTCGAAATACAATGTGTATAACTAAATTTTGACAAACACAAAACTCTCAAAGTGAAGTATGATTTGTTTCAAGTACACTTTGACTAATATTCTACAATCATTTTGTTTATATACTTACTGTTAACATGTGAAGTAGTGTAGTTGATGTGATATTTGATGGAACTATCAAAGTGAATGTTTGTATGTTGTTAGAAAAATAATGTATACGTTGTGGAGATGGGGTGGATGATTCCGTAGACCGCAGATTCCGTTAGTCGGATGGACTAGTCGTAAACTCTAGTTGTCGTTCAGGGTGATTTCAGCAGCAGCTTCTCAATAAATTTGTCCAGAAATATCATGAAAGATTCCCAAATAAGTCATATAAGTCAGAGCTCACTAAATCCACACAAGTCAGATGAACATTGAGGAGTTATGAACCGAAAACAGACTATCATTATACATAAAGCATTCTACATTTCCACACAGGTAGAGTCCAAACACAATATAACAAGTCCACATATTATCAAGTATTCAGAATAGTTTCAAACATACTTTCTGCATTAGCAAATCTCACATCACGAACACTATCATTCTAGCATATCTACATTCAGACACATTTGGTTAAGAAGTGACAATGGTTTTATGTGAAGCAGTTTGTTAGAGATATTTAAAAGGACTTGTTGACAAAACACTCTCGATTTACCACTCACCTAAAGGCAGACATCCGTTTTGATGTTTAGATAATATTCTTTTCTACTGGAAGTCACTCAACATCTTACAATTTTCTTCTCGGTATTTTCTGTTGTTCTTCAGAGTGTTGTTAATCATTGTGATATCTGTAGTTTAGTGAGTTCGGCTATTATCACGTTTGTATACAGTGAGTATACCAAATGTGTTCTTCCTAATTTTGATCATTAGTAACTTCGGCTACTAAAATTGGCGAAATTAAATAAACTGAATAGAAACGAATTAGAGAATAATCATTAATGTACAGTCGTTTACATCTACACACAAATTGACGTCTAATAACCAGTAGCACGACATCATGTTAACTCAACTCATAAAACAAACAACATGGATGCACAATAATACTCTCCTACACTAATATGTCATACTTAGCAAACTGTCCTAACATCAACTCTAAACCAACTCAATGTTATTTTAGTTATCTCGTTACAATAATTAGTATATTATTAGTAATATTGAGAATGGAGATAATAATCAACCTGTTTCTTTGTTTCATGTTAACATTTCATATTCACTTAGCAATCATCAAAAATATCACTTTTTTACTAGAGATTAAGTCATAAGTCATTATGTGTATCACGCCAAGGAAAAAACAGTTGATCTTTCTCTCTTAAATAACATAGCGATTCCTTATGTGTTCAAAAATCAGTAAAAGACAGAATGAGTGTTCAAAACAAAACAATGTGATCTATACAATGTGGCAATATCACATATTTTAAATTTGTTCTTAGTAGGTGCTTTATTTAGTACAAATCATGTAGATTGATATCTTCTTACTTAGACGAATTCGCCTGTAACTTAAACGCACATTAACTTTTTGGCCTTCATTAATTCAACTTGTAAGGATTTTACATCGTTAAAGTGTTGTTACGTATAAGACGTATAATCAATTTGATCGCGTAGGTAAATTTTTGTATCAAAAAGAACACCTAAATCATCTTTATTTTGAATGGCAGCCATGATATTCAAATCATAGAACCAGTTAAACTATGAATTAAAGATTTTTTGGTTTACTGAATGATAATAATAACTGACAGACCACTTTAAGTTAATTGTAGTCATTCATTGATGAGATTTGTTCACGAAGCACCAGTCCAACTGCAACAAAAAAACATGATGTTCAATTTAGACAACTGTAAATGATTAAAATATACACTATGATGTTCAGGTCATTTTAAGATCATTTCATTTCAACTAACTCATCCTGTTGAATAGTTCACTTTCTCAGTTGGAAAATAACAAAGACAATAACAGTCTATCCTCATTGTTTCCATTGTTGTTATTACTTTCGTCACGTTCTCTTTTTCCTACATCTAATTATTTAATTATACACACAAACAAAACAACGAAATGGGAGTCTTCGTTGTCAGTAGAAATATACAAATAATGATGGTGAAGATGTTGCGTATGTATGACCTGAAAACACATCATACTGTGATGAACACACTGAGGTCATTGATGATTGCTAAGTGAATATGAAATGTTAACATGAAACAAAGAAACAGGTTGATTATTATCTCCATTCTCAATATTACTAATAATATACTAATTATTGTAACGAGATAACTAAAATAACATTGAGTTGGTTTAGAGTTGATGTTAGGACAGTTTGCTAAGTATGACATATTAGTGTAGGAGAGTATTATTGTGCATCCATGTTGTTTGTTTTATGAGTTGAGTTAACATGATGTCGTGCTACTGGTTATTAGACGTCAATTTGTGTGTAGATGTAAACGACTGTACATTAATGATTATTCTCTAATTCGTTTCTATTCAAGTTTATTTAATTTCGCCAATTTAGTAGCCGAAGTTACTAATGATCAAAATTAGGAAGAACACATTTGGTATACTCACTGTATACAAACGTGATAATAGCCGAACTCACTAAACTACAGATATCACAATGAT